CTGCTCTCAGAAATATCAGAACAAAACAAAAGATTAGCAATATAGGAGCTGGATTTTTCTTTAGGTTATGTTTATGCTCCCATTTATTTGTGGGAGGACAATTGGCTATGTGAAAGAGATGGACTGTATTTTGTCCTGGAGAATTCACTGGATGGTTTCTTGCTTGCTGTCTTATACAGAATAATCTGCCGTCATTAATCATTGCTGTAATGTAATTTCCATTTTGGCATTTCTTCTATACTCTTAGGACTACGCATATGGGAATTTCCTCTTCCATATTATCAGTGAATATTGTATTTGAGCTGGCAGTTTGACTAGAGGTTACAAACCTAAGGTTTGTAACTGCAAGTGAGGAAGATTTAATAATTTCTGCAAAATGTATGACTTCCTTTAAAATGTGAGGGGGAGTGATCTCCACCTCTTTTGCAAGGAGTGATGTCCTCTGAAAGAAAAAAATAGGAAATAAATCTCAGAAAGCTTTGTCTTTTGAGTTTGCAATGTCATCTTGAATCTGGAGACACGTCCAACATTTCTGCTTTGGGTCATAGGTTTTTCAAGCAACAGCAGAATTAAATTACCAAGAATTATTCTTTTTCATGGCTGCTATACAGAACCATATGAGTAGTTGGGAAATTATCTAGGGACCAAGTCTGTTCCATATTGCTTCAGCTGCTATTTGGAGAAGGCTAATAGCTGTGGCAGATGCAGAGATTCGGTTCAGTCACAAGGGGATAGCACTCCAAATATGATACTTAGAGGACAGGCTTTCTCCTTCTCTTTCTTCCCTCTGGCTCAGAAGCTTTAAAGGATTCAGAGATAAAGAAGTTCTCTTTTTCTGTCTGTAGCTGGAGGATACAAAACTTCATACTTACTGAAAGGAGAGAAGCAAAGACTGACACAAAGATCTGTAGTTTGAGGAAGGGGTTAGGTTTGGAAATAGCAGATTTCATACTAGGATGTTATTGCATTGTTTTTTGTTGGTGGGGATTGCACTTCTCATGGCTACCTCTACATAGTGTCAGGGTTAGTAAATTTTTCATTTTGGCTGCTTCTCCACAGCTGTTTCCATTGCTGCAGAGCAAGCAGTTGCAGCATGCCGCATTCTAGCAGTACAGCTAAGGATGCATGGAGCATGACAAGGCCAAGAGAGCTCCCCTCTTTTTTTCTGGGGTTGTTTTGAGCGTGGTGCCAAAGTAGCCTTGTTTAAGTGAGGACAGCTAAGCAAGTAGTTACTGTTGTGTTCAGTAATAAAGAGTCTTCTAAGATCTCTGTGGCAAATCTCCTTGTGGAAAGTGTTGCAATATTTCACTGAAGAGGGAGCCCTAAATGCCACAGGGATTATTTTCTTCAAGTGTTCTTGTGCTGTGATTTTTATTAAACCCTACCTCAATCTGTTCACTGATCACAGAATGTGACCTGACCTGAAGGAAGGTACTTCCCCCCCACCCCCCCTTATTGTTAGGAATTGAGAAGAGGGATGCATCTAAAGGTCTTTAGCCACTGTTCAGCAGTAAAACAGTAGGCAGTATTACTTATTTGCTTGGGCAATGTAATCTTGCTGCTTGGAACTTCAGAGCAGATCCAGTGACGTGGGAGTGGAGCATTCTGTACTGGTGCATTGTTTCTGTTACCAAGATGATGGTAAGTGCTTTTCTACTGCTGTGGTGTTATGTTGCATAGTTTTACTGCTTGGTTGGCCTAATTTAAGTGGCAGCACTTTAGCAGACATTTACATTTTGAGCAGAAGAATCTTGGGCTTCTGGCTTGTAGAGAGTTTTTCCTTGAGGAATATTGACAAGTGTCCAACAGTGGTATTCAAGGAAAACAGCTAAATTATTTGTAAGAAACATCTAAGTAGCTAGGAGGAAAAGACTGGATTTCTGAACAAAAAAGATATTTAGGATCCAACTTTATATCTTGTTTGTTCATGCTAATTATTTCTAAGCATTGTATTGAAATTAGGGTTTCTTACAATAAAATCAGTGTAAATTGAAATGCCTCTTGTAAAGGCTTATTTCATCAAATAAGTAATGGACGTTACTACTTTGGATTACAGATGTAATCTAGGAACAATTTAAAGTTGGTGTAATGCCACCAGTAGTAGCCTACCTGGCTTAGTACTTCCATTACATAGTGAGGGTGGCAACTGATTGTGGTATTATTAGTTGTAGGTCACCATCTGTGAATCATTCAGGTTTTTGTTATAAAGACCAGGAGAAGATGGAAGGATTTGATTTTGTCTGCTTTTCACTGGGGGCAGTAAAAATTGAACATTTCTCATTCTTCAATGTTTCTTCCTGACCACAAATACTAGTGACCTAACAGAAACAAATGGTAGAAATGACTGCTGTGGTAGACATAATTTAGGACCGCTTACACTTGGCCTTGATGTATTTGTGAGAGTTAATATTTGTAGGTATTTCCTCTTTTTGCAGGGTTTTAAGTATGATCTAGAAGATAGGGCTACACCCTAGAAATAATAGGTTTATTTTCTAGGTCTGCTACAGAGTTGCTGTGTAACTTTTGTTAAATCACTTCAACTGTGTTAGCCAAATTACCACACTTCAATTTCCAAGGTCAGGTATCTTAATATGTATTGATTTTTCAGATAGGCAGAGGGTTTTTTTCTGATTTATTGCAGTGGCATATCCAAATTTATTCGTAACTCCCAGGTATTTCAGGTATCTCTGCCTCAGGTTGCCTATTGGCAAAACTTGGGTTTACATCTGCTTCGTAAAGATGTTGAGATCTGTTATAATGTGGTAGCGATGGCAATTAACATCTAGGAAACTGAGCATTTTAATATAGCATTTTGGGGAGTTCATGCTTCACCTCTGAAAGGCTCAAAAAAGGACCATTTGCTCGAGTGTAGAGATGGGGTTAGGCAAAAATGAAGTCAGGCTTTCCCTGACAGGTCCTAGGGCTGCGCAGCTCTAGGCTAGTTTTGATGGGTGCTTCAGGTGCTTCATTATCAGCCCCTGTCCAGGGAAAAAGGCCGTGGCTCTGAATGACCTGTCTGAAGCTGCATGAATGTCAGCTGTGGTTGGCTTGCATATCCTTTGCCAGAACCTGGGAGGGATCATGCTTTTGCTTCTTCCTACCATTCATATGCCAAGAAAATCCTTTCCTTGTCAGGTGTGGGTCTTTTAGTATATCTTTTCACTGCTCCGGAATTTTTGGTTAGGGTCATAGATTCATAGAATCACAGAATGCTTTGGGTTGGAAGGGACCTTTAGAGGTCATCTAGCCCAACCCCCCTGCAGTGAGCAGTGAGCAGGGACAGCTTTAACTAGATCAAGTTGCTATTGGATATAGAATTATTGTTCTAAAACTTCTGTAAAGCTGACTTAAAAAAAAAAAAAAAAAGTCCCTTTTTCTATTTAGAATTGGCGTTGTTGCACCCTGGTAATAACAGGATGGGAAAGCCTTTTCTTCCCTGAGAACACTTTCAGATTGTTTGAAAAAAACAAAATTATTGCTATTGTTACTACTGTTTAATAATGTAAGAAAATTATAGTCAGGTCTTGGAACAGGAAAACACTGAATTTTTTTTTTTTTTTTAAATGCTTTTCCAACATGGTGAAATTCCATCTTTTCTAAGTTAACTTTCAAAATCTAAAAACAGATCCGAAGTTGTGCAACTGTTTCAGATCTGTCATAAATTCAGTACAATCTTCATCCAGGTATAAAGGGACATAATGGAAACTTGCATGCAATGAGCTTAACTGTTAAAAGGCTGTGGCTTATTTTAGGATAGTTTTGTTCTGATTTTTGAGTATCGTATTTTGAAGTATCCTATTTTTGAGTATCCTATTCATTGCGCTATTTTGTGTATCTGGGAATAGGAGCCCACTTGCATAGGCCAAATTGCAAAACTGGAGCTGATAGGCTGTATTTTGTAAGTAAACTAACAACAATTGTTAGACAAGTAAAAATATTTGAGGAAAAGATATATTGCATTGCCAGATGTATTTGTTTTATATAAACTGTAAATGCAGTCTGCACTGAGGTTATTCAAGCCAGCAAATCTGGAACAGCTCATCATGTGTTACATGTTCTTAATCAGAGCCAAACACTGAAAGCAAGGAAATGTTTTTTCTAGTTCTCTTGAGAATTATTTATTTTACCTTCCGCCCTACACTTAATAATAAAGAGAATTTGCATCCTTTCCTAAAAGGGAGAGTTTTGTGAAAGTAGGTTTGATGATATAATAGGTTTATATTATGAATAAATAATAAGTCTGTTGTATGCAAAACTGAGATTTAAGTCTATTTTTGTAAATTAGAGAAATGGGAAGGTATTTGACAAGAACAATGCTTCATGATTTGGTTCAATAGTTTTATGATTATTTGGATACAAAAAGACCTCCCATTTATTAAAAA